ACCAGGATAAAAGCTGGTCGCCACGTCTTATTTGTTTGCACACCGTTACTACCCTTTTATGTAACCCAGGTTATCATCCAGCAGCCACAACCTCTGCAGAGCAGCCCAGTAAAAGCAGACACCTGCTTGGCTGAAGGAAACTTAGCGAGATTGATATTAGGTACACAAATGCTACCAGCCAAGAGGTGAGGTGACACCATTTTTTGAAAACTTCCTTACTGGGGCTTCATTGACACACCATAAAATGCATCCATTGTAAGGAGAGAGTTCAGTAAGTTTTGACTTCTTGTGTGTCCCCCCACTGCAATCAAGTGATCTGACATTTCCATCACCCAGAAATGTCCCTCTGATATCTTCCCAGTCAACACCCTTCTCTCTCCCATTCCCCACCCCTGGCAACCACTGGTCTGCTTTCTGTCAGAGGCTACACTGTGAATCAAAAGAAGGTCAGCCGGAAAAGCTGTAAGCAGAAGGGTTCACTGCAGAGTGAACGAACAGACCAGCAAGCGTGGGCCAGGGAAGCGGTCTGCTGACCTGCACTGGCTGGGGATGCCTGGCAGTGCTCCTGCAAGTCATTGGATTGGTTACCAAAGGATACACAAACAAAGAGTTATTTTTATGACAGCTTTAAGGGAGCATTTCAGACTGTTTAAAAAAAAAAAAAAGATGAGGGTAAGTGCTCTAAGCTTAGAGAACTACTGGAAATTATCAAGGCCAGGTGCAGTGGCTCACGCCTAGCATGCCAGCACTTTGGGAGGCTGAGGCAGGAGGATCACTTGAGCCCAGGAGTTTGAGGTCAGTCTGGAACACATAGCAAGACCCTATCTCTACAGAAAAGCCTCTTTTAAAAACATTAACCAGGCATGGTAGCATGTACCTATAGTCCCAGCTACTTGGGAGGCTGAGGTAGGAGGATCTCTTGAGCCTGGGAAGTTGAGGCTGCAGTGAGCCATGATTGTGCCACTGCACTCCAGCCTGGGTGGCAGAGCCAGACCCTGTCACAGAAAGAAAGAAAAAAAGAAAGAAAAAAGACGGGCACGGGAAGGGAGGGTCAAGGGAATAATCTAATTGTGTGCATTAATTGTAAATGTAAATTAGGCATCCAGGACCACGTATCCCCATCTTCACGTGGGCATTGTGTATGTTTGAGTGACTCCACGGGCACAAGGCCTGGGTAGCTCTCCTGTGCCCAGGAACACTGAACAGAGACAAGTACTGTTCCACAGGATAACATTACTCATGGTCCACCTGGTCCCCAGTCTTTCAGCCCTCTTGTTTCTATGGCATCCAAGAGCCCATAATAAGTATGAGAGTGTTTTGTTTTTGAAACGGAGTCTCACTCTGTTGCCCAGGCTGGAGTATGGTAACAGTCTCGGCTCACTGCAGTCTCTTTCTCCCGGGTTCAAGCAATTCTCCTGCCTCAGCCTCCCGAGTAGTTGGGATTACAGGAATGTGCCATCATACCCAGCTACTTTTGTATTTTTAGGAGAGATGGGGTTTCACCATGCCGGCCAGGCTGGTCTTGAACTCCTGATCTCAGGTGATCTGCCTGCCTCAGCCTCCAAAAATGCTGGGATTTATAGGCATGAGCCACCACGCCCAGGCATGTTGATCAGCTTTTCATTCCTTCTATCCCATCTTTTCTCTGGAATGTGATCCCAGCATCATTTTCCCAGAATACAGCCTGCTGCCTATTTTGATTTGCCTCTGTATGAATGGCTTTTCAGAACTGGCCTCAAAGGAAAGTCAGAAGGCTTCCCACAGATGTTAATGAAGTTTTGGGAACCACAACTACCTGTATCTCTTGGGGACTTTTTACTGTTGTTTTCTAAACCAGAAGAGTCATGTCCTCAGAGAGGAAGGTCAAAAGTTGAGCACCTTCTCACACTGTTCTCCCCCCCAAATAAAAACCTTGCTGTCCCACTTCTAATTCCCAGAAACAATGGCCTCACTTTTCTTCCAGGTGTCTTTCAGCTTTTATCAGTGCTCAGCTTCCTTTTTTTTTTGGAAGAGTCCTACAGCTAATTTTGCAGACTCCCAGGCTTCTTGCTTGCCTCGTCTGGTCTTTGCCTCCCTTCTGATGTAGGGCAGATGAGCCCTAAATTAGAGCTTAGCCTGGGAGGGTTCTTGGCTTTACCCAGGAAATTATTTACTTATTTATTTATTTACTTTTTTTCATTTTAATTTTTTTTGAGATGGTATCTCACTCTGTCACTCAGACTGGAGTGCAGTGGTGTAATTTTGGCTCACTATAACCTCTGCCTCCTGGGTTCAAGTGATTCTCCTGCCTCAGCCTCCTGAGTAGCTGGGATTACAGGCTCGGGCCACCACACCTGGCTAATTTTTGTATTTTTTAGTAGAGACCATTCACCACATTGCCCAGGCTGATCTCAAACTCCTGATCACAAATGATCTGCCTGCCTAAGCCTCTCAAAGTGCTGGGATTACAGGTGTGAGCCACTGCACCCGGGTCACCCAGGAAAGAATTTAAAGGCTACCCAGTGGTAGAAGAAGATGGCTTTATTGAAGTGGCAGTGTTACAGTTCTGGCAGTGCGACAGATCTGTGATTGCCCCTGCAGAGCAGGGCTACCCCACAGGCAATGTGCTAAGAGTAGCAGCTTAGGGCAATTTTGCATTCATATTTATATGTATTTATAATTACGTGCAGGTTAAGGGGCGGTTAATGCCCAAAATTAACCCTCCCCCTCCCCTCCCTCTCCTTCCCTTCTTCCCTTCCCTCCCTCCTCCCTTTCTTCCCCTGCCCTCTCCCCTGCTCTCCCCCTCCCTTCGCTCCCCTCCCCCTCCCCTCCCCTCTCCCCCATCCCTTTCCTTTCCCTTCCCTTCCTTTCTCTTTTTTCTTGGTCTTGGTCTGTTGCCCAGGCTGGAGTGCAGTGGTACAATCACGGCTCACTGTAGCCTCAACCTCCTGGGCTCAAGCGATCCTCCTGCCTCAGCCTCATGAGCAGCTGGGGCTATGGGCATGTGCTACCATGCCCAGCTATTTTTTTTTTTTTTTTCCTTAGAGGGAGGAGTCTTGCTACATTGCCTAAACTGGTCTCGAACTTTTGCCTTCAAGCAATCCTCCCACTTCAGCCTCTGAAGGTACTGGGATTACAGGTGCGAACCATCCCACCTGGCCAACACTGGGTGATTTAAAATTTCTAGTTTCCCCTCACTCCCCTGTGCGCTGTGGTCCAGGGAAGCTGTAGCTGAGATAGGACGAGCCTTCCCTTCCTCTTGTCCTTCTGGGTTGCCCTGCCCTTGGTTTCAGTGAAAGAGGATCTCTCCTTCTAAAAAAGTTCCTCTTGTAAGCCTTTAAAAACGTGTTTTGCTAATTAACGAAAAGGATATTGCTGAGAAACCTGCTTCTTGAAAGTCAAAGATAGTCAGAAACTTAGCTGCATGAAATCCTCAGTGAGAAGGGACACGTGCTTCTGCTTAGAGGAGCAGTGTCTCTGACACAGAGATGCAGCCTTGATTTTCAACCCATCAGAGCTTCAGAGAAGGAGTTTTCCAATACCTTTATCGTTGCTTGGTATTTTCCAGGGAAACAGGACCTTGAGTAGTCTTCTTGGCCCCCACCTAACATTGGCCTCTCCACACATCCCTGCCTTGCATTGAGCCTATCACACCCCTCTTCAGCTACATCCATGCTACCCTTGGCTCTAATTCAATAACGGTGTCTCTTCTCTTGTACAAGACCCCATGCTTCTTGCAGAGTGTGATCTCCCTTCCTGCAGCAAGATCCTCAGCCTAGTTTTGTTGGGCTACAGTTGGTGAGACAGGCTCGATCAGTATATTAGATAGAACCATTTCCGTGGCTCAGACATTCTCAGAGGCAACAATATTGATCCTAAGTATGTGAAAACTAGTTCTTGGGGAACAACAACTACAAAAAAAAATTTCACAAGGGTTTGTATCTTCCTTTCTTTTCCTTCTTCTTTTAAGATGGAGTCTCTCTCTGTAACTCAGGCTGGAATGCAGTGGCGCCGTCTCGGCTCACTACAACCTCTGCCTCCTGGGCTCAAGCAATTCTCAGCCTCCTGAGTAGCTGGGATTATAGGCACCTGCCACGACGCCCAGCTAATTTTTGCATTTTTAGTAGATACGAAGTTTCACCATGTTGGCCAGGCTGGAAGTGATTCACCCACATCGGTATCCCAAAGTGCTGGGATTATAGGCATGAGCCACGGTGTCCACGTGGTTTGTGTCTTTCTAAAGGGTGTAATATACACAGATAGAGAGTGTGTTGGTTGCATTGAAATTGCATAAGCAGGCAGAGGAATGGGCTGCTTAGGAAAGATGTATATCCAAAAAGGCTCCAGAAGGGAGCGAGGATATTAGAAGCTGAAGAGACCCTGCATTAGCTAAGATTGAGGAGCATCAAGTGCCCACTGTGAGTCACCTGCGCAATCACTGGCTCTAATTATCTTAATCTGTATTTTTCAAGAAGGCTTTTTTACTGGAGAGAGGATGTACCCACACAGATAGTCACTGTGCTTTACATTTCATTCTGTTTCTTGTCACACCCTGATTACATGTGTCCTGCTCAGATGGCCTCATCTGACTTGGGCACATTTCACTGGGCTGGGTGACCACAAGTGACACACAGCTGGAGAACCACAGAGTGGCTCAGGGGCATGGGTGTCAGAGCCAACTGACTCCAGCTTCTGGTCCCACTTCAGTCACCCACCAGCTATGGGATCTCAGGCAGGAGATGTCACCTCTCTGGGCCATTCCGTCATCTGAAACGGGATAATGCTGGTACCTACCACAGGGCTATTGAGAAATAGAAGATGATGTGTGAGGCCAAGTCCTGCAGACCGGGCAGCTGGTATTTGCATCCCTGCAGGCCAGATCCTCTCCCGGCGTCCAGGCGTCCTGGCATTTGGCCCTTTTCCTCTGGAGTCTGGTGTTTTCTCCTTCCATCCACCAGTATCCCCCGGACAAGCACACCACCAGAACAAAACAGGAGAAGGAGGAAAGACCGTTCTCTTTGGCTTGCTTCTTCATTTATTTGGGTAGTTTTTCTTCTGTCATTGTTCATGATCCAAATTTGTCATTGTTCTCTGACCCAAATGTATTGAGCAATGGGAATGGCCTTTTCTGGAAAAGGCGCTGCGGGAGCAGAATGCAGCCTCAACCCTGGAGCCCTGTCTCCCACGCTCCTGACTCGCCAGCTGGGAGCAGCCCTGAGGATGGGTTTCTCCCCTCTCCCACCCCTGCCACTCACTGGTCAGCCCCCTCAGACCCCGGGCACTGCCCTTAGCTCCTGTGCCACCATCAGAAAAGCACAGGAGTCGCCTGCTGCTCTGAGGACCTCAGTGTTCTCCAGAGCAGCGGCTCACCCTGACCCCTTCCCAGAGCCCAGTCCATAGAGTGTGGGTGGATGGGGATGGAGGTGAGAGCAAGAGCTCAGCTTTAGGGCACACACCCTTAGGAAGGCTGGGTGTCCGCCCTACCCCCAAGCCCCACTGATTCCCAGCTCACCACTCCAAGTCCCGCCTGGTGTGGGCGAGGAAGTACCCTGAGGATGACAGGCCAGCTACACCCACCTGCCCCAGAGGACCTAGCTTTCAGCACAGGCCACCTGGCCGTCCTTTCCCCAGCCCCGCTACAGTCCACTACTCCTCCTTTCTTCGGGGAGGTCCTCCTTGTGCCCCTCCCCTCCCTTCTGCTCCTTCAGCTCCACGCTGCCCTCCTGCCGCCACGGAGCGCAGAGTCCACGCAGCCTCCTCAGCAGCTCATGAAAGTCGTCTTGGAACGCGGATGAGGAGAAGTAGTAGACAAAGGGGTCGACACAGGAGTTCAGGGTGCTGAGAAGCATCACGTAGATCCTCCACGCCGGGCTTTCACCCTGGACAAAGCCCATGACATGGGACATGTGTAAAGGCCCAAAGCAGACGAGGAAGTTGAGCAGCGTGGCTGCCACCAGCCCCGCCACCCTTCTCTGCCGCCGGCGGCTGCCCCTCCTGCCGAGGATCCACACCAGACGGCTGTAACAGTAGCTGGTGATGAGCAGGGGGACCACAAATAGGGCCACAACCATCTCCAACCGCACGGGCAGCAGGATGGCCAGCTGGTCCTCCTGGAACTCCATGTAGCAAGTCTCAATGGTATTCTGCCTGTGGGAGGAATTCCTCGAGAATTCCATGACATAGACTATGCTGCAGTGAGCAGAGGCCAGCAGCCAGCAGGCCACACTCACCACACCCGCCTGTCCCAGCCTCGACCGGGTCTTGTACCACAGCGGGTGGGCCACGCTCAGGAAGCGCTCAATGCTCACGGCTGCCAGGGAGAGGGCAGTGAGATAGACGGTGGTGAAGAAGATGAATCCCGAGAGCGGGCAGAGGATGAAGGGCAGGGGCCAGTGCATGCCGCTGGCCGCCTCCACCATGCGGAAGGGCAGGAACAGCAGCAGGAGCAGGTCCGAGGCGGTCAGGTTGAGCAGGAGCACGTCCACGGCCACCGGGCGGCGCCGCAGCTTGCCCACGAAGACCACCAGGGCCAGCAGGTTGAGGGGGAGCCCCACCAGGAAGGTGAGGAGGTACACGGAGAAGGCGAGCCAGTGATTGCCGGGGAAGTAGGACCCGTCGGGGCCTGCACCCATGCTGGTGGCCACTGGTGAGAGAGTGACATGGAGCTGGTAGTGGGGGGCCTTCCTGCCCTGGCCAGCAGCATCTCACCCAAAAGGGCACGTGGTCACCACGCCCACCCCTCTTGCCTCCAGGTGCTTTCCAGGCGGGGTCAGCCTGCCTGTCTTCCTGAACATGCCCTGTCCCCTTCCTTCCCCAGCAGAGAAGCGCCCAGGGGCTCCTCCACCCAGCCCCTCGGGCCCAGGCTCACCTGCTTCTTTGAGACCCCAAGATATCTGCCGCACAGCAGCTTCCTGTCTCTCCAGACCCAGCGCAGTTGGCTATTTATCCGGCAGAACTGATAAAGACCAGGCGGTGCCCATGACATCACTCACTGTTGAACAGTGGCACAAAACTCTGTTGCCAGGGCTGGTCAGTATGCAAAAAGGGGAACGAAATCCACAACGGTGTGCCTCCCTGCTCCCGCAGCCTCAGCTGGGATGCCTGGGCAGGCCTGAGCTGACTTCCTTCCCTCCCCTTTCCTCCACTTGAATTTTGTCTGCTTCTCTAGAATGGCACTTGTTCCGTTTGCCTTGTCGGGGCACAAAGCGTGAGGCAGTGACAGAGACTGGGCTCTGTCACTTCCCGACTTTGTGATTTAGGGGAAAATGATGTGTCTGTTCCTTTCTGATTTGTGATTTGGGGGAAGTGTCTGCTTTCTCTCCTCCAGAACAGGCATCATCAAAGTACCCATCTCATATTTCAAAGCATGAACACATGCAGATTAAGACATATATACAGTTAGACTAAAATGTTAATCATGTAGGTCAGTTGCTTTTTCAAAACATTTATTTTAGATTCAGGAGCACATGTGCAGGTTCGTTACATGGGCATATCGCATAATGCTGAGGTTTGGGCTTCTATTGTGCCCATCACTGAAATCGTGAACATGGTACCCAACAGGTGGTTTCCCCAGCTTGTCCTCTGCCCCCCTCCCCCGCTTTGGAGTCCCCATCGTCTATGGCTTCCATCTTTAATGTTCGTGCGTTCTCTCACTTAAAAGTGAAAACCTATAGCATTTGATTTTCTGCCTGTGTTAATTCACTTAGGATAATTCACTTGGGCCTCCAGCTGCATTTATGTCCAGCAAAGGACATGATCTCATTCTTTTTTATAGCCGCATAGTATTTCATGCTGTATACATGCCATTTTTTCTTTATCTAGTCCACCATTGATGGGGACCTCTGCTGATTCCATCATTTTGCTGTTGTGAATAGTGCTGTAACCAACATATGCACACAGGTGTCTTTTTGGTAGAAAGATTTCATTTGATGAAAAATGATATTGATGATTTGGTAGGAATTGTGTGGAATCTGTAGATTGCTTCAAGCAGTATGGACGTTTTAGTGATACTGATTCTTCTAATCCATGAACATGGCATGTTTTTCATTTAGTTGTGTTTTATAGTTCTCCTTGTAGAGATCTTTCACTTTCACTTCTTTGGTTAGATGTATTTCTAGGTATTTTATTTTTGCTTGTGGCTATTGTAATTGGGATTTGTGTTCTTTATTTGGCTCTCGGCTTGACAATTGTTGGCATGTAGAAATGCTACTGATTTTTGTACACCAATGTTTTATCCTGAAACTTTGTCAGTCATGTATCAGGTCTAGGAGTATTTTGGAGGAATCTGTAGGGTTTTCTAGGTATAGACTCATAACATCAGTGAACAGAGATAATTTAACTTCCTCTTCCTATTCGGATGACTTTTATTCCTTTCTCTTGCTTGATTGCTCTGGCTAGGACTTCCACAACTACGTTGAACAGGAGTAGTGAGAGTAGACACCCTTGTCTTGTTCCATTTCTTACAGGGAATGCTTCCAAAGTTTACCCACTCAGTATGATGTTGGCTGTGAGTTTGTCATAGATGGCTCCTATAATTTTGAGATATGTTCCTTCGATACCTACTTTTTTGAGGGTTTTTATCACTAAAGGATGTTGGATTTTATTATATATATTTTTTCTGCATTGGTTGAGATGATCATAAAATTTTTGTTTTCAATTTTATGTGGTGAGTCACATTTATTAATTTGGACATACTGAACCATCCTTGCATCCCTGGAATAAAGCCCTCTTGATCATGCTGAATTATGATTTTGTCATGCTGCTGGATTTGGTTTGCTAGTATTTTGTTGAGGGCTTTTGCATCTGTGTTCATCAGGCTATTGGCCTATAGTTTTCTTCTTTCACTGTGTCCTGCCAGATTCTGATAGCAGAATGAGGCTGTTTTTGTAGAATGAGTTAGGGAGGAAACTCTCCTCCTCAATTTTTTGATATAGTTTCAGTAGGATTAGTACCATCTCTTCTTTGCAGGTCTGGTAGAGTTTGACCGTGAATGCATCCAGTCAAGGGCTTTTTAAAGTTGGTAGATATTTTATTACTGATTCAATTTTGTAATTCATTATTGGTCTGTTCTGGGTTTCAATTTCTTTCTGGTTCAATCTTGGTTGTGTGTTTCTAGGAATTTATCTGTTTCCTCTAGATTTTCTGGTTCATGTGAATATAGATGTTCATAGCAGTCTCTGAGGATCGTTTGTATTTCTGTGGGATCAGTTGTAATGTTGCTTGTGTTATTTCTGGTTGTGTTTATTTGGATTTTTAAAATTTGTTAATCTAGATTGCAGCCTATAAATCTTGTTTATTCTTTCAAATAACCAATTTTTCATTTCATTGATCCTTTGAATGGCTTGTCGGTCACAATTTTATTTAGTTCTCCTCTGATTTTAGTTATTTCTTTTCGTCTGCTAGATTTGGATTTAGTTTGTTCTTGTTTTTCTAGATCCTTTAGGCGTAATTTTAGGTTATTAATCTGAGATCTTTCTAACTTCTTGATGCAGGCATTTAGTGAGATAAACTTTTCTCTCAATACTGCTTTTGCTGTATGCCAGAGGTTTTGGTATGCGGTGTCTCTATTTTCAGCTGTTTCAAAGAATTTTTTGACTTCTGCCTTAATTCTTTAACTTCTGCCTTAATGACTTACTCCAAAGTCATTCAGGAACTAGTTGTTTGGTTACCAAGTAGCTGTGTAATTTTGAGAATTCCTTTTGGTATTGATTTCTATTTTTATTCCACTATGGTCTGAGAAGATGGTTGGTGTGATTTTCATTTCTTTAAATTTACGGAGGTTTGCTTTATGACTAAGCATTGAGTCAATCTTAGAGTATGTTCTGTGTGCAGATGAGAAGAACTTACATTTTGTGGTTGTTGGGTGGAGTATTCTATAGATGTCTATTAGGCCCATTTGAACACATGTCCAATTTAAGTCCAGAATTTCTTTGTTAGTTTTCTGCCTCAGTGATCTGTCGAGCGCTGTCAATGGTCTGTTGAAGAACCCCATTATTATTGTTATCCATCTCTTTTCTTAGGTCTAGTAGTTATTATTTTATAAATCTAGGTACTCCAGTGTTGAGTGAATATACACTTAGGATGTTAAATCTTCTTGTTTAAGTAACCCTTTATCATAGGAAGCACGCTTGTTTGTGCTTTTTTATTACTGTTGGTTTAAAGTCTGCTTTATCTTATACAACAACAGCAACCCTTTGTTTTCCATTTGCATGAGAGATCTTTCTCCATTCCTTTGAGGGTTTGGATGCCATTATATGTGAGATGAGTCTCTTTCTCCTTTGTGAAGCTTAGTTTGGTAGGATATGAAATTCTTGGGTGGCATTTTTTTTAAAAAGAAGCCTAAAAGGCCGGGCACAGTGGCTCATGCCTGTAATCCCAGCACTTTGGGAGGCTGAGGTGGATGGATCAAGATCAGGAATTTGAGACCAGCCTGGCCAAGAGGTGAAACACTGTCTCTACTAAAAATACAAAGAAATTAGCCAGGCATGGTGGTGCACAACTGTAATCCCAGCTACTAGGGAGCCCGAGGCAGGAGAATTGATTAACCCAGGAGGCAGAGGTTGCAGTGAGCTGAGATCCCCCACTGCACTCCAGCCTGGGCGGCAGAGTGAGACTCCACCTAAAAAAAAAAAAGAAAAAGAAAAAAAAGAAGCCTAAAAATAGGCACCTACTCTCTTCTGAACTGTAAAGCTTCTGCTGAGAAGTCCACTGTTACTCCAAGCAGACTCCTTTTATAGGTCATTTGGCTCTTTTCTCTAGCTTCCTTCAAGATATTTTTCTTTCATGTTGACCTTGGGTAGTCTTGTGACTGTGTGCCTTGGGGATGGTGATTTTGTATTAGCATCTCTCAGGAATTCTCTGAATTTCTTATATCTGCATGTTGACTCCTTTAGCAACACTGGGGACATTTTCCTGAATTATACCTTCAAATGCATTTTCCAAGTTGCTTATTTTTTTTCTTCTGTGTGAGGAATGCCAATAAGTCATAGTTTCAGTCATGTACCATAATCCTATACTTTTCAAAGCGTTTGTTCATTTCTTAAAATTATTTTTCTTTATTTTTGTGTGACTGGGTTAATTCAAAAGACTGGTATTCTTCCTCTGAAATTCTTTCTTCTGCTTGATCTAGTCTACTGTTGAAGTTTCCAACAGTATTTTGAAATTCCTGTAGCAAATTTTTCAATTCCAGAAGTTCTGTTTGATTCTTTCTTGTGCTTTAGTTCACATCCTGGCTCATTTTTATGCCTTCTTAATATTGGATTTCAACTTTCTCTTAGATCTTGCTGAGTTTTCTTGCCACTCACATTCTGAATTCTAGATCTGTCATTTGCAGCATTTCAATCCGGTTAGGATACATTTCAAACCGAAGTGCTCTCCAGCTGCAGCGGTAATTTATTTCTTCATTCAAATACTTTTGGAGCACAATGATGCTATTTCATACCCACTAGAATGGCTACAAGCAAAAGGCAGGCAATTGTTGATGGAGAAGAAGGGGCCTTGGCCTCTCATTGCTGGTGAGAATGTCAGATGGTGCAGCCGCTTTGCAAAACAGGTGGCAATTTCTTAAAAAGTTAAACATCAATTTACCATGTGATCCAATAATTCCACCATAGGTATTTATTTAAAACAAGTGAAAACATTTGTCTACACAAAGACTCAGTCCTCAATGTTCACAGCAGCATTCATTATAAGAACCAAAATTAATTATCAGCGAACACAGGAACAAAAACCAAACACCGAATGTTCTCACTCATAAGTGGGAGCTGAAGAACGAGAACACACAGACACAGGGAGGGGGACAACACACATGGGGGACTGTAGGGAGGTGGGGGGAAGGGGAGGGAGAGCATTAAGAGAAATACCTAATACACGTGGGGCTTAAAACCTTTAGATGACAGGTTGACAGGTACAGCAAACCACCATGGCA